AACCACTCTTCTGGCTCATATGCAACGAGGAGCCCTTCTACCCGAAGTTCCTGTCGCGGGAAGCTACCAGTATACTGAAGCAGGTGACTTGAAGGGGGGGATTTCGGGAAGAGGGAAGGGGTAGGAAGGGGAGATGGGGGGTGGAGAAGGGGGAGGGGGAAGAAGAGAAATGGGGAAGGGTGGAGAGGGGGATGAGGATAATTAAGAAAATGAGAAAGGGAATGACGAGAAAGGATAAGATACCCACCACCATCACCACCATCCTTATCACCATCACCATCGTCATCACCATTCAATCCCATCCCCTCATCACCATCATCATTATCACCATCACCACCATCACATCCATCGATCATCACATCACCATCATCATCACAATCACCATCATCATCACAATCACCATCATCATCATCACCATCATCTTTATCACATCACCACCATCCTCCTCTCCTCCTCATCATCCTATCATCACCACTACCATCATCACCATCCCCCTCATCATCACCATCATCTTTACACCATCACCACCCATCCTCCTCCTCATCACAATCATCACAATCATCATCATCATCACCACCATCCCCCTCATCAATCACCATCATCAAACTTCTAAATCACGTTCAAGGGACCCGAAGAATAGAGAAAGAAAAAAAAAAGCGAAGGAAGTTATGAAAACCGCTCTAAGTCTTCGCAAGGTGCTCATATGCTTCGTTTAACTTTGAAAAACTTTTTTTTCTCTCTCTCTCTCTCTCTCTTTCCTCTATCTCTTGCTTTTTCCTCTCTCAAGCTCTCTCTCTCTGTCTCTGTCTCTGTCTCTCGCTCTCCGTCTCCTCTCTCTCTCTTCTCTCTCTCTCTCTGTGCTTCCTCTTCCTCTGCTCTCCTCTTCCTCTTTCTCTCTCTCTCTCTCTCTCTCTCTCTCTCTCTCTCTCTCTCTCTCTCTCTCTCTCTCTCTCCTCTCTCTCTCTCTCTCTCTCTCTCTCTCTCTCTCTCTCTCTCTCTCTTCTTCTTTTTCATATTCTCGGAAGTTAAATGAACGCCGGGAAGAACATAGGGGGGGGGGAGGGAATGAGGGAGGGGGAGAGGGAGGAAGGGAGGCGGGAATAGAGGTAAGAGGGAGGGAAGGAGGTGAAAAGGAGGAGGGAGGGAAGGTAGAAAGAAAGAAATTAGATACGTAGGGAGGGAGGGGAAAGAGGGAAAGGGAGAAGGAAGGAAGGGAGAAGGGAGGGAGAAGGAGCAATGAAGTAGGGAGGAAGGAAGAGGAAGGTAAGAAGGGAGTAGTGAAGAGAAAGAGAGAGAGAGAGAGAGAGAGAGAGAGAGAGAGAGAGAGAGAGAGAGAGAGAGAGAGAGAGAGAGAGAGAGAGAGAGAGAGAGAGAGAGAGAGAGACAGACAGACAGAAAGAGAGACAGACAGACAGACAGACAAAGAGAAGAGACAGAGACAGAGACAGAGAGAGACAGAGAGACAGAGACAGAGAGAGCCAAAGACAGAAAGAAAGATAGAGAGAAAGAATGATTTCAAAGCTAAGCAGAAATAAAACATAGACATAGAGAAAGTTAGACGTTAGACTACGAAGCTGTAGGGTGGCAATAAGAAACATAAATAAGATGTAGAACTGAATATTGTTTGACTTAATGTTTGATGGAGAAATAGGTGGATGGATGAATAGATAAAAGAAGAGATGAATGGAGAGACAGATAATGGAATAGATGAAGAGAATAATATATAAATGTATAGGTAGACTAATGGGTACATACAAAAAAAAAAAAAAAAAAAATAGAAGTAAAAAAAGAATAAAAAATATATATAAATACATAATTTCAAATGTGAACAAAGAAAGACTGGAAAAGAGAGAAATCGAGAGAGAACAAGAAGAAACAAAAAATAAAAAAGATAGCAGAAACATAAAAAATACCCCTCCCCTCCCCCCAAAAAAATAAAAATGAAATGAAATGAAAATGACACTTATCTCCCTCCTTCAAGAAATAATGAATAGATAATAAATAATGACAACAAAAGAATAATAATACCCCTCCTCAAAAAATAATGAATAGATAATAAAAATACAACAAAGAAAAAAAAAAAAAAGCCAATAACCCCCCCCCCCAAAAAAGACCCTTATTCAACCCCTCACCCAATCCTACCCTAACCCAATCACCCACAATCCTAATCCTAATCATCCTCCACCTTTCAGTTGCTGGACAAGGACTCGACACGGCGACTGGGCATCCCCTTCAGCCCCTACGGAGAGATCAAGGTCCACCCTTTCTTCAAGTACATCGACTGGAACAAGATTGAGGTGAAGGGAGTCGAGACGCCGTACAAACCCCGATTGGTGAGTGTTCGCTAAAAAAAGAGAGAGAAAAAAAAATATATAGATAGATAGATAGATAGAAATCGCTAAAAAGAAGAAAGAAGAAGAAGAAAAATGAGATAGATAGATAGATAGATGGATGGACAGAGACAGAGAGGGAGAGGGAGTGAGATAGAAAGATAGATAGATAGATAGATAGATAGATAGATAGCAGAGACAGAGAGAGGGAGAGATAGATAGATAGATAGATATAAAGATAGATAGATAGATAGATAGATAGATAGATAGATAGATAGATAGATAGATAGATAGAGAGATAGATAGATAGATAGAGACAGATAGATAGATAGAGAGAGAGAGAGAGGGAGAGATAGATAGATAGTTAGAGACAGAGATAGAAAGATAGATAGATAGATAGAGACAGAGATTGATAGATAGATAGATTGATAGAGATTTTTTTTTTTTAGATAGATATGATATACATACATACATACATATATATATATATATATATATATATATATATATATATATATATATATATATATATATATATATATATATATATATATATATATCTTTTATAAACTCGTTGATCTGGCATATCTACTTCACTATAATGCAATATCTGAGCAATCTATTTATCTATAATTATACCAAAACATGAGACAAATAAATAATAAAATAAAAGAATCACAAGAAATAACACACACAAACCAAACAGAAAAAAAGACAATAACACAATAACAGCACACAGAAAAAGAATAAATATGCGGGAGATAAGAAAGGAAACAAAATCGAGGGACGGAGGAAATGTCTTGACGAGCAGACGACAAGTGAGGGCCGTCGTGCGCACCACCCGGTCAGCGCCATAAATCAGGACGACAAGGCAAATTCTGACCCTGTCGCCATCAATAAAGATCGCCTGACTTAATATAACAAAAGAAAGATATATAATAAAAGGAGAGAGAAGAATAATAAGAAGAAATAAAGCGATTGTGAAGGGGAAAAAATTAAAAAAATAAAAGAATGAAAAAAACTATAGACGAAGTAATTTTTCCTCCCGCCCGCACACGGTTTAGCGGATTCGATCGCAACCCAAAGGGGATTGGATCTCCTTATAACCAAGCGACGATCTGGAGATGAAAGAAAGGCTTGAAGTCTTTGAGAAAGTGGCATATAAGTCTCGCTTTTGTCCAGCTGATTGCATTATCCTCGTGCGAGTGTTTGGGAGTTTCAAACGCTTTTTGGCGGGAATCTCTCTCCTCTTTTCTCTCGTGTGTCTCTCCTTTATCGTTATTACCGCCCTTTCTTCGCCTTTCGCTCTACACTCTTTTGATTATTGTGTTTATTTTTCTTTCGTCTTTTCTCTACATCGCTCTACACTCTTTTTATTATTGTGTTTATTTTTCTTTCGTCTTTTCTCTATATTTCTGTTATTATTCTTATCTATATTTCGTTCTCGTTTTCTCTACACTCCTATTTTTATCAACATTTCTTTTTTCTTTCTCTTATCCTCTACACTCCTATTATTATTCCCTCCTCTTCTGCTATTCTCTTGTTATTTATATTTCCTATTTTTTTCTTCTTATCTTTTCTCTCTTATTTTCTACTTTCCTGTTATTGTTATTCTTTTTTCTTTCTTTCTCCTTTTCTCTGCTCGCTTATTGTTATCATTTGTATTATCATACTTTCTCCTATTTCCCCTTTTCTCTTCTCTTCTGTTGCTGTTATGATTTGTTCTTTCTCCACCTCTCTAATTCCTTTTATTCTTCCCTCTTGTTTCTCCTCCTGTTCTCTTTTGTTTCGTCATTAGCCTTCTTTCTCTCTCTCTCCTTTCTCCTCTTCCCTATCATCACCATCTTCCTCTCTTCTCTGTTCTCGCCTTCTATAATCTCCTGCTTTGATGTCATTTCGTCTTTCCTTTGGTCTTCTTTGGTGTCTTATTATCATTATTATCGTCTATTCTTATTTTCTCTATGTTGTCGACCTTTTCTTCCTTTCTCTGCTATTGTTATTTTCTCTTCTTTCTTCGCAATTTCTTTGTTTCTCCTGTCACTGTGTCTCTTTCTTTTGTTTCTCATATTATTTTCTCTCTCCTTGTTATTATTTTCTTTCTTCTTCTTTTCTCTACTTTCCTATTATTATCCTCATCTCTTTTACTCTTCTTTCTTTTATTTTATCTACTCTCCTATTATTATCATTCTCTCTTTCTTTCTTTTCTTTCCATTTTCTTACGTTTCTATCAATATAACCTCTCTCTTCTTTCTTTCTTTTTTCCTTTTTCTCTACTTTCCTACCAATATACCCTTCTTTTTTTCCCTCTTCTCTCTCTCTTAATTTCTTCTCCATCTCCATCCCTTCCATCATCCTCGTCTATTCTCCCTCTCCGTCCATCTCGTCCCCAACCTCCCCACAGGCACTGCTCTCCATGCCCGCCCCGCTCTTTCTCTACCCACCTCCCCTCCCTCCCCTCCCTCCTCCTCCCTCTTCCTCTCCCTCCTCCCTCCTCCCTCCCCTCTTTCCTCCTCCTCCTCCTCCCTCCCTCCTCCCTTCCCTCCCTCCTTCCCTTTCCTCCTCCCCTCCTCCCTTCCCTCCTCTTCTCCTCTTTCTCCTCCTCCCTCCTCTTCCTCCCTCTTTCCTTTCCTCCTCTCCTCTCCCCTCTTTCCTCCTCCCTTCCCCCTTTCCCTCCTCCCTTCTTTCCTCCCTCCTCCCTCCCCTCTTTTCCTCCTCTCTCTTTCTCCTCCTCCTCCTTCCCCTCTTTCCTCCTTCTTTCCTCCTAACTCCTCCCTCCCTTCTTTCTTCCTCCTCCTCCCTCCCCATCCCCCCTTACGTTGTTTGTGCTTCGTCCTTCTCCTATCAATCAAGCTTCATTTTGCTTCACTTATTTGCTCTTCCTCTTCCTGTCTCCGTGTCCGTCGCCTTTATCATTTATCATTCTGCGCCTCATTCGCTCCCTCCCCCTGCCCGCTGGCCTTTCAATTGACCTTTATCTGTTTTCCTTGTATATACATACATACATGTATATGTGTGTGGTGTATATATATATATATTATATATATATATATATATATATATATATATATATATATATATGTATATATATATATATATATATATATATATAATATATATATATATATATTATATATATATATATATATATATATATATATATATATATGTATATATATATATATATATATATATATATAAATATATATATATATATATATATATATATATATATATATATATATATATATATATATATATATATATATATATATATATATATATATATATATATATATATATATATATATATATATATATATATATATATATATATATATATATATATATATATATATATATATATATATATATATATATATATATATATATATATATATATATATATATATATATATATATATGTGTGTGTGTGTGTGTGTGTGTGTGTGTGTGTGTGTGAGAGAGAGAGAGAGAGAGAGAGAGAGAGAGAGAGAGAGAGAGAAGTGTAAACAGGCTGTACATTCTCCTGTTACTTTATCCGAAATGTTATAGAAACTTCAGATCAAATTTCTTTTCTCGGATTTTTCGGAAGCGGTCACTGGAGGCCATCTTCGTATCGCCGTAAAAATACTGTATATGGTTTTCAAGCAATATTTTTTTTTTCACGTTTGACATTTCACTATAACTAGTTTCCTGTTACGTGATGGGTTTGTAAAAGTTTAGTTTCTGAAGTTTCTGGTTTTATTGCGTTGGGTTTATAATTCGAGGAAAAACTGGTTACTCTGATATGCACACCACGTACGCGCACACACGTACACGCACGCACGCACACGCACACACAAACACAAACACATATGTATATAGAGATAGAAAGATAAATAATAGATAGATAGACAGATAAAGATAAATAGATAATAGATGATAAGATAAACAGATAGATAGAGAGATAGATAAACATAAAGACAGATAGACAGATGGATAGATCATTCTTTTCAATAGCAAATTCATCTCTTCGCTCCCTAATTGCTCTCGTTCCCTTCCACAGAGACACATCCTGGACGTGCAGTACTTCGACCCCCTCTTCACCAAACGGCAGGCGGCCATCACGCCCCTGGACGAGAGTATCCTGTCGACGATGGACCAAACCGCCTTCAAGGATTTCTCTTACACGAACCCAAACATCACCGACTGATCGTTCGACTAAGACCACGAACGGAGGGTTTTTAGATTTCTCTTTCTCTCTCTCTCTTAGGGAAGGAATGGGGGGGCGGAGAGTGGCCATTCTGTTTTTCTTTTTGGTTTCCCGTTTTTTTTTAGAAGGAGAATTGGGAAAAAAGTGGGAAGGGGACGATGAGGCGGTCTTGGTGGAGGCAGATGGTCGTCTCTCTCTCTCTCTCTTTCCTCCGCGGCGTCTTCTGAGAAGGTCGGCGTCTAGGAAGAAGGCCTCTAGTGTCTTCTAGGGTTTTCTTGTTTTCTTCTGTCAGTGGCGATTACGTGTACGCATTCTCTCATCGTTATCGGTTGGAAGTTGTCAAGGGGGAGGAGAACGTAACAGCAACTTTTAATGATGTTCGAGATGAAACTTGGACGTTGTTTCATTACTTCTACGCTTGAGTTCCTAGTTATTTATTATCTGATTCGTTCTGTTTCAGTTACGATTCTTTCCACTTTTTGGACTAATGAACGGTTATTCTGTGAGAACAGAGGACGGAGTTTGTTTCGTGTCGAAGACCAGGAAGGGCCGGGTCGTCCCTGTCCCTCTTCCTCACTCGCCAGGGCCTCCCGCCTGCACAAACGAGCCTCTCAGATTTACGCAGCAACGGTGCAACTGCATTCGAAATCCCATATTTTCGATCAAAATCCGAGACACCGTTTCGAAGTCTCGCTTAAGAACAGCCATCCGTCTGAATCCACTTTTTGAGTTCCTGGAGTTTCGGGTCTATCGTTATAGAGGCTTTTTTTTTTCTTGATCTTTTCATTTTTTATTTTCGCTTGAGTGTTTCTGTGCTGAGCCTCCTCGTGAATCAAGACTCTCCATTCGTAGGCCTATGCTCTCCGGGGGGGATGTCACCGCCTCGGAACACACGCCCATCTTCGCACCTCTTTCCTCTCTCGTCGCTGACTGGGAAAATACTCTTACCACTTTTTTTCCCCCCGACGTCGATGACGCTAAGGTCGTCGAACTCCCGCGCGGCGAAGGGGAAGAGGAATCGCCTGAAGAGCCACAGAAGGAGGAAAAGACCCGCTTCCCCGTCACAGGAGGGACACACAGGGCTCCCTTCCTTACAGATAGAGGAGGGCAAACGCCTGACATTTTCCCCTTTCGAGACTGGAGAGAGTAACAGCTTTGATAAAGGCAAAAACTCGTGGTTCTTTACAGAGGCGTTTTTGGTGTCCAGCTTCCCTTAAAAACAAACAAACAAACAAAAAAAAGCAAGGGAATGCTAGGAGAATCTGAAGGCCATTGATATGAATATGGATGATAATTATATATGCAAACTTCCACTTGGTGATACTCAGACTTATATATTTTTTCCCCTCCATGCTGGTTCAACTTTTCCTACGACAGAAAAAGAAGAAACAGTAATATGTATATATATAAACATCTGCTTTTTCGAAAAAACACAACAAAAACAC